CACTTCGTTAGGAGTTCCACTCCCACTCTCAACTGTCTAAGTCAGAGCTTTTGGTCCAAATGTGTTATGCTTATTTGGTTTTTGTTTTGGCCACTACCACATGGCCCCCTTTTGGCTCTACTTTAGGGCTTAGGGATTTGTGTTTCACATCCTCGTCTAAAAAATTCACAAATGCTAAAATAACAAATTCATCAGAAATATGAGAAGAGAGTGAAGAAGGAAAAGGAGTTTAAGAAAGGGCATCAATATCAGGCATAGAACTCCCTAAATGATGAACATCAAAATTATATATCTTAAGTTTCAAAGCCTATCGAGCAATATGACCAACTAAATTCTTCTGCTTTAATAATGAAGTAACTATAATATGATCACTTTTAAGTAATGTTTATGAACCATATAGATATGTATGAAGTTTCTCAAAACTCCAAACAGTTGCTAAACACTCATTCTTTATCATGGAATAGTTCACTTTTATCAATTATAATGTATAGATGATATATGCAATGAGATGGTGATGACCAAGCACACTCAAGCTCTTTTGCATCAAATTTTAAGTATCCATATGCAAAATGAAAAGTCAAGTGTAATTAAGATATGCCAAAATTGAAGGATTCATTAATAGTTCTTTAAAATTTGTAAATGCCCACTTATAGTTCATATACCAAATGAAAGGTGACATTGACAACTTCAATAATGTTTGCAACAGTGTAGTGTGATTAAAAAGATGATCGATAAAACGACTGAGATATTGCACTTTGCCCAAGAAGCATTACACATCATTTACACACTTCGGAGTAAAGAATTTTAGAATAACCACAAGTTTGTTAAGATCAATTTATAAACCTTCATGAGAAATACAATACCTAAGATAAGTTGTGTCTTTAGATTTAAATATGCACTTTGACTACTTCAACTTTAAATAAACTTCCCGTAACCGATCTAACACCTTATGAATATCACGGATGTGTTGATCCCACGTCCCTTCCAAGTGGATCAAAACATCATCAATGAAATCAGTAGTCACTTATGGCATATTGCAAAAAACCTCGTCCATCATCCACTAGAAAGTGGCTAGAGCATTGTTTAAACCAAATGACACCACCAAGAAAGCGTACAAACCAAATGGCATATAAAAAGTAATTTTAGGAATATCTTCCTCATTCATTAGCACTTGCCAGTACCCAGAAACAATATTTAACTTGGTGAATTAACAACTTCTCTCTAGATAATCCAAGAGATCAACAATATAAGGAAAAGGGTACAAACCGTTGACATAAAGAATGAAAACTAACTCTATACATAATGCAAATATAGATGGCAATATGTGAAAATAGGCCAAGAAATAGAAGATAAACTTGAGCTTGTATCAACCAATATGGAGAGAATAATAAAAAACCTTTTGTTATAAAAATGAGCTTGGAAAGTAAACATTGAATGAATTGGTATAAAATAAACCCCTTGATGATACTCCCGAAAGAAAGATTAAAAGGTCACTAACTTATTTGCATAAAGACCCTTTGCTACTCTTCGTTTCTAGAGAGCATATCGATGTCCAAACTTTCCACTGTAGTAACACTAATAGAATGTTGTCGACACCAAAGTCTCCACCTAGGAAATAGAGGTCACTAATCTTGAAAATGCCAATAATGCCTATAAGTGTGACTAATTTCATCACATGCCTAACAATAGACATTATGGCTATGACCACATCCTCATCCTTGTTCTTCAATTTAGGCATTAACAACATCAACCTCCATTGGAATAGAATTATCTTTTATAAAAAATGGAGCTAAAGGATGTGTAATGAGAAATGGAAGAGACAATATCTTATAATGTTGTGCTAAGCAAAGAGCATCATCAAGAGTGGCTAGAGCAAATGCATCACAAATCCTACAAAATCTTCATAAATTGTTAGCTATAACATTCCCAACTTGATATACTCTAATATATTTGGCTCTACAGGAAGCAAGAGGCTTTGAAAATGAATGCCAAATTGCATCACTAACTCAAATAGCTCTTAACAAAAATAATGCAATTGTTAGAAAGCATTACCATAATCATTAATATAGTTCAAATACATGTTTGAAAACATCCAGAAAAATGCTCCAATCCACATAAGTGGCTATAGTCAAACCATTATACCACTACAATGCCATCCTTTGGAAACATATAAAAAACTCATGTAAACACCAAGCATCATCTCAAGAATGATGTGGTAATTACTATAAAGTGAATGCTATATATCATCCCTACAATTCCCATGCAGCCAGACACGAGGATTGATAGCAAGAGTGGGAGGAGTTATACCACACATTGTGAATATCGCCATTAACTGAGTTTAATTGTTTATACATAGCATTAAACAATTGCACTAATTGTTATTCCAGATTCAAATGAGGAAGATGTTATTCTTTGTAAGCAACTAAAGAGAATGACTAAATATATGACTCATAAGGGTTTAAATATAAAGGGAAAGGGCCATAAATAATAATGCACTTTTTTTCCAATCAATTAAAAGTCTTAGGACATTTGGGGTTAATTGTCCTTAGGTTTAAATAATGATATTTAACAAAAGTCAAGCATAGCTCTTAGGAGAGTTGTAGTTCTTAGCTTCCTTTCACAAGGGTGTGAACTTATAAGAGAGTAAAGCTTTCAGGAGAGTTGTGGCTCTCAACTTCCATTCAAGGGTGTGAACTTGCAAGAGAGCCCCATGAGGGTGTAAACTAGAAAAGAAGTGTAGTGAATTATAATCAATAAAAAAGAATGACTTAAGAGATGATCCATTAATGTGTGATAGATTATAATTAACCAAAGAGAACAATTCAAAAGATGATCCATAAACAAAAGTGTTCTTAGGTTTGAATAATACTGAGCTAAATGACATCCCAGAAAATCCAAATTCAGGAATTTACACTCTTTTGGTATAAAGATGAATGAAAAAAAAAGTAAAAAGGAAGAAATTAAAAAATATAAAAAAAGTGAGATCTAGACGATAAAAATGTTAGATTTAAACCAAAACCTTAAATTCAATCACTCTTTAGGAACAATCAAAGTTGCCCCTCACTTCCACCAATGTGAGTGTATAAAATATAAAATGAAAGATAGAAATATGCATATAAAAACTTTAGTTTATATATAGAAGTGCTTTGGATTGAAACCATCAAAATCCCACTAGGCTAATATTAGTGTATAGTTGTTAAAATTAGTATATGGCATTATACTATATAGTTGAACCTCACAATAACTAAGTAGGAATTTTTTTAGAGCCTCCTTTAATATAACTTCCTTCTTTATTCCTTCTTCATATGCATTAATATAAATTTTTGGGTTGTTTAAGGAAATCTAGAGTGGGGTGATAGTGGATACACCTAGAATATGCATAAATATTTTTTGATATTCTACCATCTAATAGTTGTTATTCATTTAGATTAATCTTGCATTTATAATTTATAAACTTTCCTAAACACTTTATAGTATATTCTAGTTTATTCTACCATCTAATTCAATAAGATTAATCTTGTGTTTATAAATTATAAACATGTTTATAATTATAAACTTCCATTTCATCAATTAGATTAATAAATAAGAATAATACTGGTATTAAGCAAAAAAAACGTTGCTGCCTGCAACATGCAATAAATTATTTGATAATCACCAAAACAATAATAAACATTAAAATCCATTATAGCATTATTTTTATATGTGTTACACTAATATATAACTATACATACACCCAGTGTAAGTTTGTATGCTCAAAAGAAAGCAACAAAAGGCACTCTGGAATATATCAAAACAATGAAAGAGTGATTGTCACACGATAGATGAACAAGTTGGACTGACAGATAAAATGGAATCAATCGAAACAAACTCAAATCCAAAATTAATTATATCCAAATCTATGATTAAAGTCCAAGGCAAAATAAAATAAATAATTACTTACATTTTTTTAAAAAAATTAATTTTGTTTTAGAAGTGGTTATTTGAGAATCATCCAAAAATATTAAAAAATATAAGGAAAATAAGGCAGTACAAAAATCTAATAATGAATGCAATTCTATATTAGCAGCAAAAAAGAGATCAACGTTTTTTTTAACTCTTTTCTAATATATACGATCTTAGACTTGATTGCACAAAAAGTCAGAGCTCACACGCTGGAATTAAAAGTTCATCCAATGCCAAGCTACACACTAAATGTACAAGGAGAGTTCGTCGCTCGCGATCATCTATTGGAAGATGAGCTCGTCATCATCCTCCCCCCAAAATTCACGATCGTCCTCCTCTTTTGATTTCGCTGGCTTGGGAGCGAAGGGATCGACCGGGGGCTTGAATCCGCCACCACCACCGCCGCCGCTGGTGGCGCTTTGGAACCCTCCACCTCCCGAGGCTCTTCTACTGCATTCACAAAGAAAGAGAAATCTTAGAAGATGGCACAGATCCAAAGCTCATATCGATCACCATCAGCTCACAAGCAAAACAAAGAGAAGCAGAACAAAGAAAGAAATCGCAAGTCATTGAGAAGATCTTCTCCTTACCTCATCTTCCTCCGCCTTGCAAGGGCCTGCTGCTTCCTCTTCCTCTTCTCCTGCGGTGTCTCGTGATACCTCCTCCTCCTACATTCCGCGATTATCCCCGCACTCATCACCTCCCTTCGGAACCTCCTCACGATCGAATCCGGCCCCTCGTTCGCGTTCACGATGATTGCCGCATTCGCGGGCTTCCCAGACCACATCAGATTCGCGTTGGCCGCCGATGGAAACGCCGCGCCACTGCTGCTCGCTGCACCGAACGCCACACGCGCCGGGGCCGATCCGGCAGCTGAGGGCGCTGCTCTGTTACCTGGATCGGCGATCGACGGAGGCGGATTCGAGGCGCCAGAGAGCCCCAGCGTCATCGTCACAAACGCCATAGCCACAAGATAGCCAAGAACCCTAATCCCCTTTCCCCTTTGTCGTTAGGTTAAAATCCCAAGAACCCTAATCCCATTTTCACCTTGTCTTAAACTAAACAAAGTATGTTTAAGATAAACTCCCCTGTTCATATGATAAAATCCCTAGAACAGGGGATGATAGCTTTAGCGTGTTCCTCGTGCGCGGACTTTTGGGCGATGCTCCAATCAATTTGGTGAGTGAGTCTTCCCCCAGATCCGGCCAATTCTCCTCCAGTCGCAGCCAATCCATGGCATTTGGATCCAATCCCAGCTCCTAGCTTCTTGGAAGCGAGATCCAAAGATGGGATTCTGGGACAAATTCAAGCTCTCCGCGAGCGATCCATCCTCGCCGCCGCCCAAGCTCTCGCTCGTCCCTCTCATCGCCCTCGTCTTCTACAGCGTCTCTGGAGGCCCATTCGGAGTAGAGGATTCCGTGGGAGCGGGAGGGCCGCTTCTCGCGATCCTGGGCTTTCTGATCCTCCCATTCTTCTGGAGCGTCCCGGAAGCGCTCGTCACCGCGGAGCTCTCCACCGCATTCCCGGCAAACGGCGGCTACGTGCTATGGATTCGCGAGGCTTTCGGCCCCTTCTGGGGATTCCAGGGCGGGTTTTGGAAGTGGATTAGCGGGGTCATAGACAACGCACTCTACCCGGTTCTCTTCCTGGACTACTTGAGCCCAACATTCCCCACTTTGGCGTCTGGGCTCACCAGGGGCGTTTCCATCTTTGGCATCACTTTGGGATTAACATTTCTTAACTACAGAGGATTAGCCGTAGTGGGGTTTACCGCCGTTTGCCTGGCCATCTTCTCGCTCGCCCCGTTTGCGGTCATGGGACTACTTGCGCTGCCCAAACTGGAGCCCCGGCGATGGACGTCGGCCCACTTGGGGCGTGTCAACTGGAAGAACTACCTCAACAATCTCTTCTGGAACCTCAACTTCTGGGACAAATCCAGCACTCTAGCCGGCGAGGTGGAAGATCCAAGCAAGACCTTTCCAAGAGCTCTCTACATCTCGATCTTCGTGGTGGTGGCGTCGTATCTCGTCCCAATCCTGGCGGGAACGGGAGCGCTGGAGCTGGATCAATCGCGATGGGTCGACGGATACTTCTCCACGATCGCGTTCGCGATCGGTGGATCGTGGCTCCGGATCTGGGTCCAGCTCGCGGCGGCGCTCTCCAACATGGGGCTGTTCGAGGCGGAGATGAGCAGCGATTCCTTCCAGCTCCTGGGAATGGCGGAGATGGGGATGCTGCCCAAGTTCCTGGCGAGGAGATCGCGCCATGGGACACCCGTCTGGGGGATCGCGTTCTCCGCGCTGGGGATCGTGATGCTCTCCTGGATGAGCTTCGCGGAGATCATCGAGCTGCTCAACTTCCTCTACAGCGTGGGGATGCTGCTGGAGCTGGCGGCGTTTGTAGCGCTGCGTGTACGGCGGCCGGATATACCCAGGCCGTACAAGGCCCCGGTTGGGGATAGACTGGGGTGCGTGCTCGTGTGTGTGCCGCCAGCAGCGTTGCTAGTGTTTGTCATGAGCTTTGCGTCGCTGCGGGTGGTAGTAGTGAGCGCGAGCGTCATTGTGGTGGGGCTGGGGCTTTACTGGGGACTGGAGGCTGCCAAGGCCCACAAGTGGCTGGAGTTCATCCGGGGTTCCCCATTGCCAGGAGAAGCTTCGTCAGGTTTGCTGGAGCCTGGCCAGTAAGAAATTCTTTCTCCAATATATATCCAAGACGCTAAGTGTTTCTCAATTTAAAAGATAATTGTAACAATGCTGGGATCAATCTAGTGAGGCTTGACGATTGAATGGAGAAGCTAAATGCACCTGAGTGGCTTGAAAATGTTTCAGAGGCGCCATTGTTCTTGGTGTATGGCCAACCTCCAACACATCTAAGACAGTGAAGAAAGAAAGGTTATGTTCTTGCCATCAAGGTTATTTTTCTTAAATATTTTAACCTTTGCTATGAATACCTGGAATAACATATGCTTTTTAGTGTATGAAAAGTTAAAAGGTAACCAATGGAAGGAAAAGTATAAATTAACTAGCAGGATGAAAATAAAGCACAAAAAAAACATTAAAAAAATTCTTATTGATACTATTCTTGGAATTATTATATTTTCATTAAATATAAATATTAAAACAAGATATTTTTAAGGTATCTATAGTAAATTTATCAATTGTAAATGAAATTTATTATAAAAAAATTTAATAAAGTAATATTTATGCTAAAATTCCAGTAGTAAAATATAAAGAAAATAAATAAAAACACGATGATAATACTAATGCTTAAAGTTAATATAATAAGTTTTTGTATGATTTATAATTTTTTATTGATATATATGTATGCATTAAAAAGTGCAATTCCTGAATAGGGAAGGAATAATACATTTAATCAATATAAAATAGGAAAAATCATTAGTGAAGGATTTGGGGAGGCAGGCTGCAGAAAGGGGTGGTGCATACCATCTCCATCCCTGCCCACGAAACCACAGAAGACACACCTGACCGGACAACAACAGATGATATACTCCTTTCTACTCCTGATTCGAACACCCGGAATGCTCATACCACCACCAGGAATCGGGGCTTCTTCTGAGGGTCGGCCCGACCCGACCCGCACACTGCGTAGACCCTGAAGCCACGGCTACCCCGCCCGAGAGCACATCCCATTCCGTAGTATGGCCGTGGTCGAGGAGCGGGGGGTGGGTGGAGGCCGCCCATCCGCATACTCTTCCCGGGCCGCGCCTTGTCCTCCCCTTCACCCTTCCTGTGGCGCACGGGTCAGGTCGAGACCCCTCACGGTGAAGAGCTTTTAAGCCAAATAGATTTATTTAATCCTAATGGATATCAAATAAATTATGAAAATACAATTGAGGTTGATCTTGGTAGAGCAATTATAATTGTGTAATTTAGATGTATAGAGGGTACACCTCCTATATGTTCAATAGAGCAATTATCAAATGATAGAGTTCAACCTAGAATATTAAGATTTAGATTTGAATACATATTTAATTTATTTAAAGATGATATGCGTTAAACATGTTTTGATGAATGTACTTTCACATCCAGAAAATATCAAATTGGCTATAGTGTTTTATTTCAGTGGCCTCCTGGTTTAGGACCACAACAAATAAAAAATAATTACTTATTTTTCAAGTTTTATATTCAATATAATATTAATGAAAATTCTGATATAAAATTTACAACATTAAATGCTGGATCAAAACAGGACCATATTTATACAGGTCAATTTTTAATCTCTCCAAATTGTAAAAATATATTATTAGTAGAAAATAATTGCAAAATTTCCATATATTCTAAAAAATAAATTAATATGGGGATCAAATAATATTGAAGAGCATTATATTAAGATTTAAAATTAATGGTAATATTATTTATATAATAAATACAAAAAAATAGTATAGTTTAATAATAAATATTGTTTAAATTGTATAAAATTCACATCTTTTACTTTGCAAAATGATTGTAATTTAACAATGAGAAGATCAAGAAGGATAAATTAAACCAAGGAATGTTGAGAAATTTCATATGATTGCATCTTTTCAATATCTTTTCCCACCCAATATTTGGTTTGCAGCATAATCAGTAAGATTTTATTGTCATATGAAACAAAATATCCAAATAAAGTTTGGTGGGCAACAAATATTTATAATAATATTGAATGTTTATAACTAATTTATAATAAATATGGTACATTGTTTTATTTAATAATTTTAAACATATTTTCATCCTGTATTTATGTTAAGTCTAATATAATTATAATATACAGTTGAAAAAGCATGAATACTAATAATTAAACTATTTTCAAGTCAGAATTTTTGTATAGTAATGATTATCAAACTACAAAATTTATATTAAAATGATAAATTAATTATCTTAAAACAGTTTAAAACAGATGTATTAAAGAAGTTTTATTTTTAAAAATAATTTAAAAATGTAAAATTTTATTAAATCCTTCAATATTTTTGTAAATTTAATATTTCTCATTTTAAACTTTTCAAATTCTAAGGTAAAATTCGTATTTTTGTTTCTTTTATTTTATATAAAATTTTATCAATAACTAGGTAAACCATTTACAATTGTTTTTAAAAACATTCTTTGTTTTAAGTCTTAGACTGGAATTCTAACAAGTTTTACTTTTTAAATTAGTAAATAAATGTAATTTAATTTTATACTCATAAATAATCCTTATTTAATGCAATAATTTATAATGTGTTCTTGAGGTTAGAACTTATTTTTAGTCAAATTTAACACAACAAATAGTGAAAAAATATAAACTAATTAAATTATATAATCTATTTAACTTCAAACTTTATTCAATTAACCCATTTAGCTTTATTGTTAAACATGTGCTGTTAAGAAAATATATATATATATATAAGTCATTTAATATGCTTTCTCATACCAAAATTGCAATGCCTAATGAGAAATGAATAGGAGTGCCTTTTTTTAATCAGATTTTAATCAAATCCTTATTGACACACTGACCATAGTATATAATTTTCATTAACTTGTATTTTTAACTACAAAACCGTTTGATCATGCAGTCCATTTCAAAAATTCCGTCAACGCTGCCCCACGCTGACTAGCTTTGAAATTAAATGACAAGGAAAAGGAATCCCTTACATGTCACTTTTCTCGATGCGAATCGCCAGCCAGGGACGCGTGGCCGACAGCGCTTTAAACACCTCGAAGCAATCCAATTCTTTTTTCTCATGTAATATTCCTTCGCATCGTTTCCTCTGTCTCTCCCTCTCCTCGTCGAAAACCATCCAAAGCTTTCTCTCTAGTACCCCCCCCGGCATGAAATCCTCGCGGCGGCATTCGCAGCTCGTCTGGATAGTCCTCATCCTCGATGCAATCGCATTCGCCCTCGCGGTGGCGGCGACCTTGCGGATACACCGAGTAAGTTTTTCACAGAGATTCAATCCATCCAATCTATAGTTCTATAGCTCTCGAATTGACTCAATCTAGAAGTTCTAAGCTATTGTCTCTGTGCTGATAGGCCACTGCTCAAAGAGATAGCCCACAGGGCGATGTTTTCACTTGCGAGTATCGCGCGGGTCAGGCCACGAATCTTGGCATCGCCGCTGCGAGTTTCCTCGCCGCCGGGCAGCTCTTTGTGACCCTGGTGACGAGATGTATGTGCTGCCCTTGCCCTCTCAAGCGAAAGGCCGCTAACATCTGCGCAGTCATTCTCTTCATCTTCTCATGGTAAGAGTGTTCTTCGTGGTTCTCCGGTGTTCTTGCCTTTTTACCGTGATCATGCCCGTTTTTACCGTGTGGATTTTACTGCCAGGATCGCGTTTCTCGTCGCGGAGCTCTTTATCCTCACCGGGACCGCGCGCGTAACTTTCCAGAGTAAAAGAGTGTCGGGCTCATCGATCCACGAGTGTAAAGTCGCGCGCCAGGTGATATTCGGGATTGGCGCGGCGGCTGCGTTGCTTACCGGGTTACTTGCCTCAGCTTATTACCTCTGCTACGTGGAGGCGCGGAAGAATCTCCGTGCTGGCGAGTATGTGTAGGGGAGAGAGAGAGAGAGAGAGAGAGAGAGGGTTTTTACTTGTGTATGGTAATTTTGTTCTTTACTTTTCACCTGTATAGTGATTGGATTCTACCTGTGGGACAATGAGTCGGCTCCTCCGTAGAAGTTAAAAGTATAATAATGGATGCCACTTTACCTTTTTCACTGTCCACTGCCGCGCGGCTTGCTCTTTTTAAACACACCGCGAGGCCAGTCTTCGCATTTTTTCGCGAGATTTCAAAGTTTTTGGTGCGAGATCTCGGAGTTTTTGGTGTTTATGGCGATGGGAAAGTCCCCCCAGATCGTCTCGTTAGCTTTCATCTTCCACTCCGTATCGTTCGCACTCGCCGTAGCAGCGGCGTTTCGAATCGCTCACGTAAGCTGCAACCCTGGAGAGATTTTACCACGAATTCTCTAAGATCACTTGCAAATGTTGCTATGTTCTTGGATAGATATAGGCCGCTGCTCAAAGATCTAGCGAAAATGCCGATACTTTCACCTGTGAGCTTCACCGGGCCACGACTCTCGGAGCCACCTCTGCGATTTTTCTCGCGGCCGGGCAGCTCTTTCTACTTCTTTCCACCAAATGTAGGTGCTGCCCGTGCCCTCCCAAGGCAAAGGTTGCAAACATTTGCACTATCATCCTTTGTATCTTCTCATGGTAAAAAGTGTTCTTCATTTATGATCTTGATGATCTCGAGCTTACGTAAAAGCGTTGTTTTCTCACTGCCAGGACTATGTTTCTCGTCGCAGAGATCTTCATCCTTGTGGGTTCTTCACGCGTAACTTTCTCGAGAAAAAAAGTGAAAGGCACTTCATTCCACGACTCTAAGGCTGCCCGGCAAGAGATATTTGGGATCGGCGCGGCTTGCACGTTTCTCACCGTGATAGCTTCCATGGCTTACTATGTCTGCAACAAGGCGCAGAGGAATCTCCATGCTGTTGGCCCAGTGTAGCCAAATTATCATGCCTATGAGAATTCGATAATAATAATAGTACATTGTTTTAGATGATTGTTTAAATTAATTGCACAATAACAATGAAATGTTGTGAGAAGGAAGACTAATGACTGTTGCAAGAGCAAAGCAAATGCAAGCAGCAGCGATCTGGGACATGGCGGCCCATCTGTCACAAAAATGAGAGTGATCTTGCCCAGGAAAAACAGAAACATGGGATTGGTTGATATGTAGAAAGTTTTGTTCTTTGCTTCTTAAAGCTTTAGATTCTAAATAACTTTGCAACCATTTTAGTGGATGGATGTGTCTTTTGAAACAGCTTAGTATATTTCATGCTCATTCTTTTCATAGGATATCGGAACAGCCTTTGTTTCCACGTTCATATCTACAAAAATATACATATCATCACCAACTTTTGTTTGTGTGAACCAGCTACGATAGTCAAACACATAATAATGCTCAAGTTTGGAAACTTATTCTAGATAAAGATTATTAAATATAAATAATTCAATGTTTAGCTTCGGATTTGAAATTTTTGTTTTGGTAAGGTTTAGGGTTCTTCGTGATGGGTGAAGAAGCCCAAGCTTCAGGGCCAGGATTTGGATATTTCCAATGTGGAGCTCATGCGATTGCTGCGCCGAAGAAGAGGGGACGGCCGAGCTTCTGGTCATCCCAGAACAGCTCACGATACCCAGGGAGGTGGCTCAAAAAGCATGGTTTGTGGGAGCTAGCTCAGAGGGCACAAGGCTTTTTCGATTGGGAAAAGTGCAAGGCGATGATACCAGCGGTCAACACCACCACGATGACCCAGTCACAGAGAATGGGCTCAGCTTAGATCGAGAAGTAGTACTTCAAAATATCGGGTAGTGGTACCCTACTGCCTACTGATTCACTCCAAAAGGAGTACACTACCACTACAGGTTGCCGAAGGCAGGAGTCCAGATGTACGAGCTTAAGGAGGAGCACCGGAGTACTGATCAACATCCTGGGAGTTCTACATGAAACTGGCCACTCGCCTATCACGAGATCGAGAAGGAGAGAGACCCCAACATTGCAAAGTTTCTCAGGTACAACATCTTCCAAGAGGTGAAGCGCATTCAGAAGGCGAAAGGAACTTAGGTGAAGACGCTTGTATTCCCTTACATACAAGCGATGCTCTTGGCACAAAAGGACGAACTCCAGCCTTGTGAGTTTTACTTGCCAAAGCAAGAGAAGAAGGAGCAACCACCTAGCAGGAAGAAGGCAAAGAAGAAAACAGCAGAAGAAGTCATCACGATCTCAGGAAAAGACAACAGGAGGAACAACCTCGAGATGAGGAGGCGGCGACGCCACTCACTACACCGAAGAGGAGAGTACTGCGGAGTAGCTCAGTTCATGCTACTAATCCATCACCGCTCGGCAAAGGAGAAGTCACCCAGCCGCGGAGGAAGAAGAGTACAACCAGGAGGGCTGGAAAAGAGGAAGCAGCCACAGTTGGAGAACAAACGAAGGAGCAGACGCAAGCAGAAGAAAAACAGAGAGATGACCACGGAAGAAGCAAACATGTCAGAGGAAGCTCACAGCAGCCTCTGCGAATTCTGCTTTGGGTATGAGGCTTGGTCACAGGGATACACCGTACCTCCTGTATGGAGCTCATCCCTCATTCGTCGGATGAGGCTTCTTTCTTGCCTCAGGCTTGCGTTCCCTCTCCCACGTCCGTTGACAGAGCGCTTCTCAGAATGAAGATCTTATCCTGGAATGTGCAGCTCTCAACATAGGCTCAATAAACACGTTATTCTCAGCTCGAACCTGAGAGAGATTAGTCTGCAGGGCTGCTTGGACATTATTGCGATCTAGGATCACCATGTGGTTGCATGCAGGAAGATTGGTGATGGCGCCTTCTTCTGGAATCCGGCAGTCTCGGCAGCTACGGGGGGGCACACTCTTGATTGTTGGGCGTCGGTGGTCTGCAGCGGTCAGCAGGCATGTGATTCTGGTCCCGGGATGAGCCCAGGCCATAGTTCTGAGGCCTTGAATTCAAGCTCTCTTCCTGACTTCCTGGAGTGGTTGTCTACCGAAGCCTAGGCATTTCAGTCAGGTCTTAGATACAAAATGCATGGTAAGCTGATTGTGGCTCGCAAGCTTACTGTAGAAGTATCTAGATTATCCCTGGCTGTTGGCCTGAGTAGAGGCGATTGCTGACCACCTCAACGAATTGGAAGCCTCATGTATGGAGAAACTCAAAGATCAAGCGTAGTACACAAACGATCGTCAGACTACATGCGGAATTCTTTCGGCCTCTGCGCCCCAACGAGGGTGTTGATGTTAGTAGGCGGACAGCCACGTGGCTGACACGTCACGTAGGGAGACATGTCCGGTTGATTCTTTTCTTTTGGTGGTTGTTTCGATCTAGAGAATCCAATCTCAATAAAAACCACAACATGGTATTAGAGAGGTTCATCGATCCTGGATGACGAGGAGACGAAGACAGCAACCTAGGATGCGTAGGCATGCATGACCAGCAGCGTGACGCATCACCAGACGCATTAGAGCAAGGAGGAGGGTTCTTCAAAACTGGAACTCAAATGGACCAAGTGGATAGGAGGGAGATGGCTACGCCTTCTCCCCCTCCTTCCCCTCCACCTCCTCCTCTTTCTCCCCTTCCTCCTCCAATCCCTTCCATCACTGTCAGTGCCTCCAAAATTCACAGCCACTAATTTTTCAGTCTGGAAACGACGGATTGAATACTACCTAGATGAACGTGGATTGTGGGGAGTGACAGCACGAGACCTTGAACCTGGTGCAGCAGCTCCTCAAGATGAAAAGGACAAATGGGCTGCACTTAATCGCAAAGCCCTTGGTAAATTCTTCCAGGCATTGGACACAAGAGATTTCCGGGCCGTGTCATGGTGCACAAAGGCATGTGAGGTGTGAGTGACCCTCACAGCAACCCACGAGCAGCAGACACCAGCCAATCGTGTGCATCTTCACCAGAAGCTCTGCTCCATGACAATGTCTGAGGCTAATGATCTTGCCACACACATTGCTGCTGTCAAGCAAATTTTAGACAACTTGATTGCCATGGGAGCACAAATGGATGAAGCTGAGGAATGCGAGCATCTCCTCAGCACACTCCCATCCTTTATTCAGTCGCTGCAACCAGTCCCAAGCGGTCAACTTTCTTGGCGAGAGGTCACAATAGCATTACAAAACACTGTTTTGCACTGCAAGACAATGGAGAAGACTGAAACTTCCTTATACAACACCATTGCAAGAACAAGCAAGAAGAAATTGTCATGTTCCAGTGGGAGTTCTTTTAGCACAAAGATATTTACCCCTTGCCCACATTGCAAGAAAACCAATCATGCAAAAAACAATTGTTAATTCAAGTACCCAAAGAAACAACTGAAGAATGATGGTTCATTGGGTTGATGAACCATTAATGCCTTAGCCTTTGTTTTCAATTGTTTCTCTGGATACTTGAATTAACAGTTGTTTTCTGCATGATTAGTTTTCTTGCAATGTGGGCAAAGGGCAAATGTCTTTGTGTTGGAAGAACTCCCACTGGAACGTGACGATTTTTTCTTGCTTGTTCTTGCAGTGGTGTTGTATAAGGAAGTCTCAGTTTTCTCCATCAACTTGTGGCACAAAACAGTGTTTTGTAATGCCATTGTGACCTCTGGCCAAGAAAGTTGACTGCCTGGGACTGGTTGCAACAACTGAATAGTTGTGTCGAAGGAGGATAGGAGCGTGCTGAGGAGATGCTCACATTCCTCAGCTTCATCCATTTGCGCTCCCATGGCAATCAAGTCATCTAAAATTTTCTTGACAGCAGCAATGAAGATCATCAACCTCAGACATTGTCATGGAGTAGAGCTTCCGGCAAAAATGCACACGATTGGCTGGTGTCTGCTGCTTGTGGGTTGCTGTGAGGGTCGCCCACACCTCACATGCCTTTGTGCACCGTGCCACGGCCCCTTGTGTCCAACACCTGGAAGAACTTACCAAGGGCTTTGCGATTAAGCGCAGCCCATTTGTCCTTTTCATCTTGAGGAGCTGCTGCACCAGGTTCAAGGTCTCGTGCTGTCACTCCCCACAATCCACATTCATCTAGGTAGTATTCAATCTGTCGTTTCCAGATTGAAAAATCAGTGGCTGTGAATTTTGGAGGCGCTGACAGTGATGGAAGGGATTGGAGGAGGAAGGGGAGAAAGAGGAGGAGGTGGA